ATGTGCCGAAGCGAAAACTTCAAATTTTCATAGAATTACAGCCTACCTTTCATAAAAAGAATGGGCTACACAAGTCTCGTGAAAAAGTACTTTAAAACGTATAAATTACGACTTTAATGAATTGTGTAACGTGTTACTATTTTTAGGTACATTTCCCCCTGTTTCCAGGAGTGGTCATTGATCATGTTACTCATTAATTATGTAAATTATTGTTATTTCATAAAGTTTTGTTTATTGATTATGTGGTTTCTTTCTCTGGTTTGTTTTTTTTTCTTTTTTTTACTCGGAGACTTTTTGACATGAATTAAAACAATCGTTAAGATAAGATTAAAAAAAAAAGATATATCCAAAAAAAGAAACGGAATAAACATTGACATACCGTGATATAGTATTAATATGGGTAACATGATCAATAGTAACTACCGGATAATAATAGATATCACTATTTCCGCGCCTATTAGTTTTTTGGTAACTGTGCTGAAAATTGTATAATATGTTGTAAAAGATATTACAGAGGAATAATCAGCAAACTAAGAATTTTCATATAATACATTCTCAGAATAAAATAGTATGACTTTATTTACAAATTTCATTATCTTATGTAAAAAAAAAAGACTAGCGATCTCTAATGACATTTCCTTTACCGTCTCTTTTATTTCTTTTTCGATCATCTTTCGATTTGTCGATTGATCAAATTAACAGAAGAACGATCGACAGTTCGAACTTCTTTGCATACATAGTTAGAACCAGTTTCCATGTGCATTTCAAATTCATCATTCTTAACATTCTTATTCATTTCTTCATAATGACTATTGTTCGCATTACTGTCGATAGTAGATCGACATTTGAAAAATCACAAAATCAAATTTATTATCAATAAATTGGGAAAATCATTTGCAATAAACCAGATTTCAATCCAACCTATCGGGATTTTGAATTTGCCGGTATCTTTCTTGTCAAGACCTCATTTATGTTCTGAGAATTGGTGATATACTGTTGTTGGTTTATGAGATGAGTGCAAAGAATTCGGTATGCAAAGTGATGAATTTAATAAGTTCCAATATAACGATGATTCTCCAAGATTTTTTGTGGGAATCGCCATGCGTAATTTCCAAATTTTCATCTTACTAAATCTATTATTGACCCAAGGAACTTTCAAATGACACATTAAAAAACGATAACGCATTTTGTTCAAGTATTAAACAAGCTATAAACGGCAATCATATAATATTTCGTATGTAATGAGTCAAAAACCATCAAAAGGTGAGCTTCAAACAAGTAATAAATGTGCAAGTACGTATTAATGTAGAATTATAATTGACGTTACTATTAGAATAGTTAAATAAATATTAATATACAAGTATCGCCAATGAAATCTGGAAATCTTTATAGTGACTTCTAGATTTTCGTTTGGCGATACTCATGTAAGTAATGTAGTGTTAAATATTCGGAATACTAATAGGAGAAAAGTTTACCAAATCTGGATAACAAACCGGGTATTCGGATTTTCGGGATCTTCTCCAGCATCGCCAAAATTTTACACACTTACGCACACGTGATGCACAACTAAATTCGGTTATGTTTAATTAGGACGTTTGTTTTGGATTTTCCTGATCGTGATGTTATACCAAAGCGTGAATCACTTCCGTGATAGTCTCATATGACATCATTGTGATGACTTTTATTTTTTCACGAAGCTAGAATGTGGCTCAGTAACAAATATTTGAGGTTATTTGTCGATCATGTATCGGGTATCAGTATACATTTTAGTTTTAATTAATAATATGCGATCGTAGTTCGTTCTAATTTGATTGGCTATATTGAATTCGTGATTAGAGTATACTCTTTACGTACGTACGGTATTCTTGCATGTTTGTTTACAAGTTAATAATTCATGAATTATTATTGGTGCTTATAACCGATAACTAATAATACTGTAATAAATGGGTCAATGCAATTTTTGTGACACCTCATCTAAGTGAATAAATAGTTATTATTTAGTCTCAAATTCTGCACCGCTATCCGACTAAAAAATCACTGTCTAATTTTCTTTAAACTTCTTATATACATAACACACATCGTTTTGCCGATATGTTGCCTTTTAAAAGAACTTATGAATCTACTGTGGATCCTGAAGATATTGAAGAAATTGAATCCAATCAACATTTTTGTTCACAGCAGTTTCAACCACGTGACTTTTTACAGTTTCAGCAACAAATTTTCTTTAATTCTCACCTATATGCTCAAGATGATTTATCTGTGATAAATGATTTTGAATTGTATTCTCAGATTCAGCCTCCAACGTCAATATCTGTTAATGTAATGGATCCAACTCCATCTACAAGTATTGACGATAAATCATCTCTAACGTCTGAAGAATTTCAACGTCTCAAGAAAATTGTCGATTTATTTATGAAATCAAATAATTCTAAAAATAATTCTTCTAATATATCTTCTTCTTTAACAAACCGGAATTCAACTTCCATTATTCTTAATTTTTCAACTTGTATTAATGAGCAAACTGATATAAAATTAATATCTTCTCCTTTAAATTCTTTAATTAATCCCACTTTTCCAAATTATTATTTTTTAGTTGATTTGATTTTAAAAGTGAAAAAAAAAAATATGAACACTAATTCAACTTTTTTAAGCCAAGATATAAGATCCCCAAAATTGACTACCTATTGTATAAAATATGCAAATGATACTCCCACATTTAGCCCATCTGGGCTTTCGATAAATCCTTCATTAAATGATCTTTGTAGAAGTTTGATTAATCTTTATTTTACAAAACTTAATCCTATCATTCCTCTTATTGATCCAAAAAGATTTCGTGATCAATGCGAAAGAAAAAAAACAAAACATTTTGAATTATTACTTCACTCTATTTTAACCATGGTTTCTGTAAGATTTCCTTGTGATCCTTCTTTAAAACAATCTTTAAAAACACCGGCTAGTATTTTCTTTAATTCTGCAAAGGTATGGTATATGTTATATAATATCATTATTTTTTTCGTAATACGTATCTTATCAAAAAATATCAACATATATATATATATCGTCATTGTAGAAACTATTGGATACAATGTATGATACTCCAAGATTGGAAACTATACAATCATTATTACTTTTAAGTATGTCTGAACTTACTCCACCAAGATTTGATAATGGTTACATGTTTCTTGGTATGGCCAGTAAGTACTGTTAATTTTTATGTGATCTAAGAATTTTACGTAATATAGATTTATAATATATATCGATATATATATTTATATTTAATTTAATCTTAAATAGTTCAAATGGCACATCTGTTACGTATTGATGTAATCGATAATTCTTTGGATCCTGCTGAAAATGAAGAAAGACAAAGAATTTATCATTGTCTATATATCCGTGATAGGTACATACATGTAATTTGTATTTTAAATATAAATATAGCAATAATCCTAAAACATTGCAAACTCCATTAGATGGCACTCATTTTTTTTAGCAAAACCTCCTGCGCTCAATTACGTGCCAAATCAAGTTCCTTTACCAAAACTAGTCTCATTTCCTCAATTAGTGAAAGATCACTTTATAGCGTCTGTAGAGCTTTCGCATATTCTTGGATGTATTTGGACATTCGGTTATTCTCCGAGTTCTAAACCATCATATAAAGATTGGCGCCATCATTTAGCAAATCCTGCAAGTGATTTTAAGAAAATACGTTCTGCATTAGCAAATTGGTTAAAAAAATTACCAAACACTTTACAATATCTTTACCTCCCTGCTACGGATTTGAGAAGTATTTATCAACTAGCAAGCTTTTCTGAGTTTACCGGTAATTTATCTTATTAATAATTCATGTCTTTAAATTGACACACATATATATATATTTATTGTTACTTTTGTTATTTTTAGGATTTATAAATATACTTTTTCATACTTGCATAATTCTTACGCATAAAATTTATATACCTCAAACCCATACGGCTCAAAATCTTAAATCATTACAACATAGCCCAATTCAAATTTGTCTCAATTCTGCTATTGCAATTATTGATATTACAAAAACGACTCGTGAATTCGACGCTGATGCATTTTATCACTTTACTTCTGCAATCTATGGCCTATTACAAGCCACAACTATACAACTCGTTATTATGAATATATCAAAAGAATATAAATCTATCGTTAAATTATCATTAGAAAATTCTGTCAAGGAAGTAAAGTTGGTTTCTAAACGTTGTGCTCTTCGTATATTACAGGATGCTGCAAACGAGTTAGAAAATATTGTAAAGGTCATTAATGAATTGAAATCCTCCAATGATATCTCACAATTATCTGAATTTCAAGACGACCATAATAATGATGAAGATGGACTTTCAAGCCTATAATGGTTTTTTTTCCCTCGAATGTTTTCAACTTCGATTACAAAAAGATAAAAATTTATGTTACTATCAATATCATAATGTACTAATACTGTAATATTAATTAATTCAAAGATTAAACGTGTAAAAATGAATGCATAAACTAAAATCAATAAGGTTATGCGTATATAGGACCTTTAAGATACTGATACGAAAATATGTTCAACTGTAGGTATGATCGAATAACATTAGCTTTTACATCTGTCATATTTTAGACCTCTTTTAAAGAATCTCTTGTGATTAATTTTTCCTTCTAAAGTAGTCTGTATTCAATGAAACATTATACGTAATCAAATTAACGTCTACAAAATAAATACTTAAGGTTTAACATTATAAGATCATAAACGTATTGTGTAGCAATACCAAGGAATTATTATACTTTATACATCGTGTAAAGGATCTAGTCTAACATGCTTTCTGTGATACTAAATAAAGTTTCAGATTTTTGAGGCAAATTTACTCCATCTTTCAGTACCAATGAACGCTTACACTTTCGGATTCACCTCGAGTATAATAAGCTTGAATATTTATAGGTCATGAAAATCACAAAAACTTAATCATTGTTTTGATTTCCTATACCATAATGAATCAACATAAACTATCTAGTTAAAATATTTAAAATTTTAAAATTTCTTATAAAATGGCATCAAAAAACCGTTCGTTAAATTTAATATTGAAGAAAAATGGTTCGTCTTATAAACTGTCTTCCATTAACATTCTTGATTTTTTGCCTAATCGTATGCTCTATCGCATCTACAATTCCGTCGTCAGAAGAATCTACACATAATGAAAATCTTCTAAATTCCGACAATATGCTACAAACAGAACCGACTATTGCTGACATGAAAAACATCCCGGAATACACGGTGGAAGAAATCAAATATGAAAATATTCCTGAAAAAGAATATATCTACCAATTGGAGCCTATTTCAGCCGATTCGGTCGAAACAAATAATATCAACATTAATGATGAAGTAGACTCTTCTCAGATATTTCCATTTCGAAGAATAGGGTTTGGTGGTCGTATGTATGGCTTTCGTCGTGGATACTTTAACGTCCGGTATCGTTTCGGTATGATGACTCCATTTAGACCTTTTAGACGCAGTTTTTATAGAATTTGTTATCCGGTTATGTTTAGGGGGACAATGTGTAGATATGCTTTCATGTAGAAGGATGAAAATTGTAGGATGAAAATTGTAGGTTGAATTTATTTATTAAATAATTTCATATAGATGGTGGTTAATAAAGAATAAAAAATTTTGATTACACTATAAATTTTTGTGGTTTAATATACAATCAAACCTCTCTATAGATTGGATACAAAAAAGTGTGATTATGCTAATTATAGAAGTCAAATTTATTATATATATTTATATAATAATAATAAATAAAGTTAAGAAACCTTTAATATAAGAAACTCTCGATATAAGAAAGTCCTAATTAAAAATTTTATCATAAAAAGCTCTTGATATAAGAAAGGTTTTGACTAGACTTTCTTATATCAAGATTCGCTTGTTTATAGTTTTTAAAAAAAATAAGTTTATAAAGAAAATGAGCTTATATAGGAGGTGATAGAGAGGTTTGACTGTATTGTACAAGAATATCGTATATGACAACTCGAATTTTCTTAAGACTTTACATTTAATTCAATATGCGTCGTTAAAGACTCATGCTGTATGAAATACAAAAAAAACATGTACTTACCTGTGTAATGTATAATGTAAAAAAAAAAGTTTCTGCTACACATTGTCTTTATACAGTCGTATATGAGTGACGCCAAGGAAAAACCAGACTTCAATCATATAAAGATACATTGGATGGCCTGTCAACTAAGTAAACCAAAAAACAATTTACATACCGTTCCTGATAGTGTTCTTAAAGGAACCCCAAAGTTTATTCTCATGGCGATGCTTAGTT